AAATTAAGAAATAAATCTGAATAGTGAGGGCATTTTTGCCTCTTTGTTTTAGCCATGTATTTTAATATTTGTATTCTTATTTTATGTCTTTCCTCATAAAACAATATAGAAAATTTTCTCATAACTTAGGTAGATATTAATAAAAAAGTAACCAAACAATGTAGTATTAATTAGTACGGAATTTTATACGGTAATTTAGTACCTTATGAAACTTGATACTCAAATACATTGTTTGGTGGAATTATATGTCTTTCATTAATTACAGTGGTATATATTATTACCTAACTATATTAAAATTATTGATTTGCAGACTTACAAAATTAATGGTGAAAAAGCTATACACCTAAATCCACGACCTCAATCTAAGGATAGCAAAACTTCAAAGCTAAAGGGCAGTGTCGTAGCTTGTGAAGCTTGTGGAAGGCACCTCCAAGATTTGCCAAATCGATTTTGCTCCATCGCTTGCAAAGTAATTATCTTAACTTACCTTATTTTTAATGTTTTGGTTTTCGTCAATTTTGGGGACGATATCATGGATGGTCACACAATTTTTAAGTTATTGCACTAAAACGAAAGAGGCGGTGCACAAACCATCATGCGTTCACGCAGATCCGGGAAAGGGCGGCACCCTAAGAGAGAGTGTAATGTAGGTAGCCTACCCTGATACAAGCATCAGTAGCTGATAACACGGCTCGAACCCGTCACGTATATGTCACACGGAGACAACTGTTGTTCCAAGGCTCCCCTTCTACCTTATTGCACCATATTCACTAAATTATTTTGTATAACGAAAAAGTTACAATTTTGCCCAAATATCATAAAACGTCACTAGATAATTTTTTTATGATCAAATGTCCCTTAATATTTGGTTGTGAATGATTGAATTTATGAAAATCTATTTTAGGTATCCATAGATGCAGATATATGCAAAGAACGGAAGATTGTCTGCTCCACCCAAATTACGAAATTTGATCATTTGTCATCAAAGGAAAGTTGTTATACAAATGAGAATGAATCTTGCATCTCCTTGACTGAATCCTCAGAGGTAATTCAAACATGGTGCAGTGCAGCTTTGAAACCAAAGAAGAATTTGCACAAAAGGAAAGGCATTCCTTGGAGAGCTCCTTTGTGTTAATGTTCAAAACAAAAGCCAAGAATTGTGTTCTTATAAGTAAAAAAGGGACTCTTCGGCCAAGAAAATATTTTGATAGAACGGCCGACCACTATATAAGTCGTCATCGATGCACGAGACAAGTAAGCTACCTTTCTTTGATCACCCTTCTGAGACCATAAGAACAAAATATGGACCATAAATGTAATCGTGGTTGATTTAAAGATCTTTCAAATTTTCTTTTACATTTTTTAGAACTGGTTTTGATATTCAAGAAGGGATGTACATGAACATATAATAAGAATAATGTCAAATCTTTTATACAAAAAATTTTAAATTATGGAAAAACATTATATGTTCGTACTGAAATAGGCCACAGTTTTGGGCTTTAGTTGGATTAGTTGATGGTGTGATCCCCACCTTGTCTGAGTAATGGAGTAGCAAATTGTAGTGGTTGTACAGCATAAAGATGGTCGGTGTTGACAGATATATTGATAATATTCTCTGTATATATACATCGTTAAAATTTTAATATAATCAATATTTTAGTTAGAAATTTAGGAAAATAATACTGTATATCTCAAAATAATAGTCAATATATATATATATATATATAT